AGGGCCTCAATGGGCAGGGGTCCTGATCCTCCAGCTCCAGAGAGGTCGTGGCCAGGAGCTGTAGGACCACTTGGGGACAGTGCTGGTGTCAGGGCTCCTTCCCCAGGAGCTGGGGCAGGAGACAGCTCGGTGTGTGGCACAGCTCCTGGTGTGTTGTCAGTGGGGCCCTGCTGGATGCTGGTGGCTGCAGGACTCGTGTCATTCTGGATGTTCGCATAGGGGCTGCCATCTCCTGCATCTTCTGCCTGTGTTGTGTCCCCTGCTCCTGTGTTCCCCTCTGCCTGTTGCCCTGCAGCAGGCAATGTTGTGCCATCAGGTGCAGAAGATGATGGGTTGGTGGCACCCAAAGCTGAGTTCAGACTGGTGCTGGGTCTGTCAGTTGCTGTCCCCCATGGCTGTGACTCCTCTAGGAATGGGGATAGAGATACTCCTAGATCAGCACCGTAGTCAGGGCTCACCACTGCCTCTGTGCCATCATCAGTTTGCAGAAGGGATCCAGCTGCAACCCCTGGGGGTAGGAAAGCAGTGCTGGGTGCACCAGAAGTGCCTGTAGGGGCTGGTGGATCAGCACCAAGCAGTGATTGCGCTTCTCTGGTGGGACTCAGCCATGGGGCTGGCTGCTGGGAGCTTTTGGCTAGATTTACAGCCTCTGTGGACAGGGGCACACCAGTGCCTGCATCTGGGACGTCTGCATCACTCTGCACCTTGGTGCCTGGCAGCAGAGTGGCTGTGTCCCCTCTCACCCCAGGTGCTGCAGGTGCCTCACTGTCTGACAGGGCTGAGTCAGGGCCAGATAGCAACACTGTTGGGGCCCCCTGCTTGTCCCCATCACCAGGTCCTAGCAAATTAGCAGGGCTCGGTCCTGCCTGATCGGTGAGAAGGGAGCTCTGTCCTGGGTTTTCTGCTGTTTCCAATGCTGCCACACTCTCTGGAGGCAGTTGTGATGTATCAGCTGTGCTGAAGACACCATTTGCTGCATCTCCCAAATCTCCGGACTCCAAAGCTGCCCACCCTGGGGTGTCACCCACGGTTCCACTCACAACATTGGTCCACGGTGTTGGGAGAAACCCACTGGCACCAGGGCTGGGGATTGATGAGAGGGTACGTCCATCCCCTTTGCTATCCCCAGGCAGGGTGACACCTTCTACCTCTGCTCCCACAGCTGTGGGCAGAGCAGTGACATGGGGGTGCAGGGGGGTGGTGGTCAGCGCCTGTGTCCCTGCAGCTGTAGGAATGGTGACACTGGGGAGGAACATGGCATCAGTTGTGGACTCCAAGCCACCTCCTGCCCTTGTTGTGGATGCTGGGACATCTGCAAAGATAGGGGTGCTCCCCGAGGGTGCAGCAGCGGTGGTCCCCGTTACGTTGTGCTTGGTGCTGGGGGTAAAGTTGGGCTGTGGGGTGACAACAATGGCAGCAGCTGTGGCAGCTGCCAAACCACTCTGGTTTTTCTGTGTTGCATCAAGAGATGTGGCCACATCCGTTCCAACCTGAGGGACTTCAGTAGGCGCCTGTGTCACTTCCCCAGTGCTCAGCTCTGCATCTCTCTCTGCACCCAGAGAGGAGTTGTAACCAGTGGTCTCGGTCACCAAATCTGGCTCAGCCCAGGAGGGGAAGGATGGGCTCACGCTGGCACTCACGAGGATGCTCTCAGCCATCACGGTGTCACTGACAGTTCCTGTCCCCACAGTGCCCAGCAGCAGGGCAGTGGGTGCCTCGCTCTGCGATGGAGTGGCAGCAAATGGTCCCTCTGTGGTAACAGGGACAGCGGTGGTGGTCCCCAGCCCTGCATGAAGCACAGAGCAGAGCATTACAGTGAGGACAGGACCAGTGGTCCCTTGGCTTGGGGACAGCAAGAGGGAGCACACAGGGTGGGTGGGAGGGTTACACTGGGGATGACAGCAGTGGGACAGGTGGGTCACCCCTTCCCCGGAGCTCCCCAGGGCCAGAGCTGCAGGAGCTGAGTGTGTACAACCACAACAGCCATCAGGGCAGACAGCAGCACCTGGTGAAATCCCACTGAGGCTTATTTTTAGCACAGCGGTGCAACCACTGGAGGGACTGAGCTGGAGGATCTGCTGACTGCTGGCTCTGGGTGGCTGTAATTAGGGGAGCCCTAATTAGCACCCAGCAAGTGAGACTGGGCGCTCAGCCCTGGCGCTCCGGTCCATCAGGTTCCCTGCGGGCAGCCAGCCCCCAGCACCCGGCATGCTGCGTGCCAGCAACCACGTGCCAGCATGGTTCATGGATCTCAGTGTCTCCTGCCCATGTTACGGGGGTTCCCAATTTCCCTTTCAACCCCCTGGTTCCTCCCCTTCCTCTTTTCTTTCTTCTTCCCCTTCCCTTTCTTGCCTTTCTCTCCTCTTCCAGTGAATAAAGGAATTTGCAGCAGCATCAGCATCAAGGCTGAAGGATGAGATGAGGAAGCTCTGCTGCACTTCAGTACAGCCTTCAGTGTCCTTGTGCAGGGCAATGCCATGCCCCCTACAACACTTTCTTAGCTCTTTGGCTGCAAAGGACCTCAAGCATTGGACTAAGAAAGGTTTCTGACATATCCAGAAGAAAAAAAGCATCTCCCAGCCATACCTAATAGGTAGAATAGCAGGAAAATATGGGACATACCATGCAGAATCCATAGGCAGCATCCCATGAAGGTCGAAAGCATCCATTCCCTGGTCCCCATGCCTCAGGCAGAACTTTGAGGCGCTGGAAGGGAAGGGAGAGCAGCACGGAGCAGCTCCTGCAGCCAGAGTCCCACAGGTGTGGTCCTGCTCCAAGTCCCTCCTATTTATGGGGCTGGTGAAGGAGGCAGGTCCCCTCCCTCCCCTGCCGCTCTCCCTCCACGTCCCCATCCCCAGTCCCATCCCACGCAGCTTTCCCCTGCCGAGGGCCACACGGGCTCAGCACCCACCTCCTTTCATCCTCTCCTGGGGGCTGTGGGTGCCCCATGGAGGAGCAGCCCCTTACAGACAGGTGTGTGTGGCATCACCCTATAGACATCAATTAGAACTGCTGGGCCTTCTGTGCCCAGGGCAAGGATGCAAAACCCTGCCCAGCTCGTGGCTTCCACAGGAAGGTCTGAAAGTAGGGGAGGTAGGATTGGGACAGCCATGAGGTGACTTCAGAGGAGCACTGGGAACCCCCCAAATCTGGCTATGCCAGGTGTGGTAGCAGATGATGGGCAGCCCTTCTCCCATTCCTCCCTCCTTTCCCCCACAGTCCCCATTCGCACCCCCCACCCGGGGCTTCCCAGTGAACGGCATTGCACAACGCCCACCAGCGCAAGCTCTGGGAATCGATTAAACGCTCCTTAAGCAGCGATGCCCGCGGGCAGCTCTCGCAAAGCGTCATTAGAGGTGTTGTCAGGCAGCAGCCGGGTACACGCTGTGCCGCCGGAGCCTCCATTCAGCAGGATGCGGTGGCACGGCCAGCGACACCCGGAGCACCAACCCACGCATTGCCCCCTGCCCGCACACCGCGTGTAAATCACACCGCTCCACTCACCCGCAACGAACGCCGACAGCGGGAGTGCTGTGTGAGGCGGGGAGAGGGGCAGGGCGGGCGATGGGTCCTGCTAAGAGGTGACCCAGCTCATGCTCTGCTCTCTCTCGGCACACATACTATGCCCAGGGATTGGAACCATTTAGAGCCCCCCTAAAAGACCTCTCTGCCCTTTGCTCTCCAGCCTGGGGGAATGGCACAGATTAGGGTGAGGATAGAAGCGCATCCTGTGCTGCAGCATCCACAGCATGCAGCAACTGGGGCAGTCATCCCTATCCTCATCCCTATCCTCACCCTCATCCTCAGTCCCATGCCAATCCATGTCCTCATCCCCAACCTTATCCCCAACCTCATATCCCCCATCCTCATCCCTTAACCACCCCCATTCCTATCCCCATCCCCATCCCCATCCCCATCCCCATCCCCATCCTCATCCCCATCCCCTCTCCATCCTCATTCCCATTCCCATCCTCGCTCTGAGGATGGTGCTGCTCCCACCCAACAAAGGATCTTTGCACTAATCCTCATGCTGTGCCCAAAGCTCAGATCCCAGCTGGCCACTGGCCCCCACAAGGATATCCCTCATCCCCAGTTATGGAAGCACAGGATGGACACAGGAGACAAGGACTGGGGCAGAGAGCACAGACAGCAGAAATGTATAGAAAGAACCTCATTTCTGTTGGGTGTCTTGCACACACCGAGGAGATGCTGGCTCCATACATGGGACTTATTGGGATGTGGGTATGGGATCAGCACTGCTGGGAACCCCATTGCCCGGGGGCTCAGCACCATCTGGTGCAGCCCAGCACAGTGGCCCTTATCGGCCTTCCTGGAATTAATGGGCTGCTTGTTCCAGCCCCGCAGAGATTACGGCATCTCCTGCCGGCAAGGGCAGAGGGAGAGCGCTGGAGGGCCGGGTTATCCATCAACCCTGCGGGTTCTGGATCATTTGGTGTGCCGCGCACTCTGCAGCAGCACTGCCACAGGACGGGTGAAGGGAGGGGGGGGTTGGAGAGGACACCAAGGTCAGCGGGGGCTGGTGGTGTGTCCCAAAGGTGGGGGTCCAGCTGGGTGCCCGGAGTGGGGTCTGCTCCCAGGGATGATGCTGATGAGTGGAAGTGGGTGGCAGCACAGAGGCTGAGAAATGCTTTCATGGTTGGAGGAGCCCTGTGCTGCGAGGGACGTCCCCAGCTCACACCCCATCACATCCGTGTCTCCATCCCAGGATGGGGGCAGAGGGATGTGGCCAGCCCACAGCATCTCCTCTCCCAGCCACTATGCCAGCCAGGGACTGTGAGCGCCCCGATCCCCTTTTCGTCCTACTTCAGGACCTTTTCCTCCTTTTGTGACGCACTTTGGCTGCAGTGTCTCAGCCTTGGCCTCGTGCCACGTCCCGGGGTCTGAATTTATGGATTCAACAGGCGGTGGAATCGGCCCGGTGGGACTGAGCGTGGGAGGGCTCCTGGCCCCATGCCACGGCGTGGGCAGAGCACAAGGATGAGTTCCCATTGCCCCACAAAGCAAAGGGGCTGGGGACCCTTCCAGCAAGTAATATCCCGCTCCCCAACTCTGCACCCTGGTGCACCTTTGTGTCAACTGCTCAAGACCTGCACAGGGCTCCATAGCCCCAAAAAGACCCCCCTAGAACCCTACAGATATACCCCATAACCATGCTAGGGCCTCACAGAGCCCCATAGTCACCTATAGGACCCTCATATCCCTCTCCAGAATCCCCAGAGACCACAATAATTCTTCCATATGACCTCCATATCCACCTCCAGGATCCCCTTAGGACCTGACAGACCCCTATGTCCCCCGATAGGACCCCCAAAACCTCCCATCACACCAGACAGGCAGCACCCTACAGCACGTGGGAGCAATCCTGGGATGTGTAGGAGATGTGCACTGCCTTTCCCAGTGGACAAATGGATGCATGTGACACCAAGGTGTCTTTGCCCATTCTGCCTGGCTGCAGGGTGACCAGTGTCTGGGAATGGTCCCCAGATTGGGTCCCACAGACCCAGATGTCCCTTTCCCAGGTGGGATATGGTGCCAGCAGGACAGGGCTGCAGGAAGGGATTGTTCCCCCATGAAAAACACAAACATTTTTGCTCATTATTCCACTTTTAATCTCCCTGCGAGGTGACTTGCTTAGAGTAATAATTGCTTCGCTCTCATTTTATCTGGCTAATTAATCAGTTAATAAATGACTTTGCTGCAGGGGAGGCAGACGGTGTGGCCGTCTCCTCAACCAGGGACTGGAAAAAAACAGGGAAGGAGCTCAGCCCACAGGATTTTCATGGCCCCATGGCATGCACAGCTTGTTGGGGGTTGGGGGCTGATGGAGCCTCCTGCTTTACCCTGAATTCCAGCAGGGCCACTGCTGCATGGTGATAATGGGGCAGGGTGTGGGGCTGTAGAGCTACTTCTTTATCATCAGTGTTATGGGGCTGCAGAGTGGCTGTGGGAAGGGGTAGAAAACAGGGCACAGAGGGGTACTGGGGTGCAGGGAAGCAGATGGGACTGTGTGGGTTACCCAGAGGGACAAGGACAGGAGGTGCAGGATGGCTCAGTCCTGCCCAGCATCCCCCGGTTATGGGCTCAGATCAGCTTCTCCCCTCTCCACTGCAGCAGGACCCTGGCACGTGGGAAGGCGGTCTGCAGGTCCTTGCGGATCTGGGGCAGAGCACAGCATCAGCACACAGCAAGCACAGACATCACGGGACAGGGGGCTCCTGTCCCCCCCTCCCACCCAGGAAGGGACCCCAGGAGGATCCTCCATTCATTTGAGGGGGCTGAGGGCACAGCTCACCTTGGCCAGGAGCTGCTCCTGCACCGTGGTGTTCCCCATGTCCAGAGGAGTGATGAGATGCATGGAGAGGAAGAGCTGAGATGCACCTGGGAGCAAGGGACACAGCTCTGGTTGTGCCCCATCCATCCTGCACTGCAGCAGGAGCACACCCCACAAACCCCCCATGTCTCCACAGAGAAATCAGTGGGGATGCAGGCCCCCCTGCACTGGCCATCAGGAAGCCCAGTGGCCACCACAACAACAAGGAGGTGATGATGCCCATCGGGCACGTGTGGCCCTGCCACCCATATCTCCCCAGGAGATAGCACTTACTGGCATTGCTCGGGGCATTGGGGCAGGCTGGTGACAGCTCTGCAGAAGGACTGGTGGTGCCATTCAGGCTCTGTGCAGAGGTGGTGGCAGGGGGGGAGAGCTCCGTGCCTGGGCACAGCAATGCTTTGTTAGTGCTGCTGTCACGGAGTGCTGCTACAGGTGGGGGTGGCACTCACCTGGGGTGGCACTGGGGCTCTGTGGTGCCGTCGAGGTGTCTGGAGGTGTTCCTGTGGTCAGTGTGGAGACATCAGGGCTGGTGCTAGCGGTGCTCCCCAAGGGTGGGCTGGGACTGGGGGTGCTCCTGGGGACCACTGGGCTGATGATGGAGATGGTGGTGGTGTCTACCACAGTTGTAGAGGGCTCAGGTGGTGCAGCTGTGTGTGCTGAAGTGGGGGCAGCACTGCTGGTCGCCTGGGTGGTGCTGGGCATCACTGAGGTTGAGGCTTCTGTGTCCAGGCTGGAGGGAGGAGTGGTGGCTGCGGTGCTGAGCAGCGACACGGGGGGCTCTGTGGATTTTGGCACTGTCACACCCACTGCTGTGGTCCCTGCAGAGAGGTGGCAGAGGCATCAGCCAGTGTGCTGGCACCGAGGCACCCCACGCTGTGCATCGGCCGTGGGCAGCCAACAGCGGGGATCACCGTCCTGAGCAGATCCAGATCCGTGGGGATCAGCGGTGTGGGAGGACAGCACATCCCCAGGCCGACAAGCGGGCACAGCTCCGGGCAGGATCCCCTCCTGGCGCCAGCGATGGCCCCGTCCCACCGCCTCCATCCAGCCCTGCGGCACTCAGAGCCGCCCGTCGGACGGGAAGAGCCGCAGGAACCGGTTACCCTGGGTCGGCTTGGGAGCTCCTCTGCAGCGTACACAAAGCTGCGTGCAGATGTTCAGGAACCGATAACGCGGGGCACAAAGAATGGGAGCGGGGCCCAGGGGAGGAGAGGGAGAGAGAAGTGAATCCTGGCTCGTGCGTCAGGATTAGGTTTAGCAGAGATGAGAGCAGGGGGCTGCTGCTCCGGGCAGCCCCAAAGAGGAGCAGAGGAGAAGGTCCGCATGCAAGCAGCAGAAATAAAGCCAAGCTCATTGCTCCTGCGGTGCGTGGCACAGCAGCCACAGTGTTCTACATCCCTGGGCCGCGACGCTTCCTCCCCGTGCATCCCGCTCAGCCCTTACCCAGTGCCAGCTTTGACCCAGCGAGGCTCAGCAGCAGGAACAGGGGCAGCCCTCCCCTACGTGCAGCCATGTCCAGGGAGGCAGGAGCCGATGCCTCCTGGTGGGCACCGCTCTGAGCGCTCCCCGCGGCCCCGGCACTGTGGTTTCCGCTTTGCCTTCTCCCGGCAGAGGATGAGCATCCAGAGGTGTCCCTTTATTGCCCAGGTGCTGGCACTGCCAGAAGGGCTCTCACCCAGCACGGGTGCTCCCAGGGATGGGCACAATGCCCGGCAGCCATCAGCTGCACGGTGGCCCCAGAACGGCCGCAAGCAAAGTCCCTGAAGCCAGAGACTTGTGCTGAGCAAGGGCAGTTCCAATGGGAAAAGCCCTGGAAGAGCCTGGGACCTCCTAATACTCTGAGAAAAGGGTGATATGTGGTGGCTGCCGACCCTGAGGCCCTCAGAGACAGCAGTCCACCGTATGTGCAAAGAGGCAGAGCCAGGAAGGGCGTGCTCTGGGCTGAGGACTCATCTCCTGGGCTGTCCGTGCAGCATCACTTCCACAGCACGTGTCACAGCCCAGCATTGCCTGCAATCAGAGCTGCTTCCTTGTTGCTGGGGTCAGGGATGAGGCCCCTCAAAGGCGCTGGGCCAGGACACAACGTCCTGCGGGTGTGCTGGGACATGGCCAGAGCACGGCGCTCTGCTGGGGCTGTCACACTGCAGGCACACGGCTGGCTGCCAACATAACGAAGGCACCACCAGTGGCATGGGCAGGATGCAGGCACCCAGGGGTGCTGGGCTCTCACCGTCGGGCTGTCACCAGGCTGTAGGTGGTAGGACAGGTGGGACGGCTGCTTGGATGGGGCACAGGCATGTGGATGGGTTGTCCTTGGGGTGCTGCTGACATGCCCACCCGAAGCCATGCCCCTAGACCACTCCCACTGTGGCCACACCTCTCAGCTGCACCTTATATAGGGCACATGCGGCAGGAGGTGGGTGCCCTTTAGGGGCAGGGTGTTGTTACTCTGTGTCCCTGTCCTACAGCTGCACTCACCTGGGGTGGCACTGGGGCTCGTTGGGGATGTCTCTGCAATCAGGGTGGACAAAGCAGGGCTGCTCTCAGTTGCGTTCTCCAGTGGTGGGCTGGGAGTGAAGGTGCTCCTGGGGACCACTGTGGTGCTGCTGCTGCTGCTGGTGTTCACCAGGGCTGTGGAGGGCTCAGCTGTGTGTGCTGGTGTGATGGGAGCTGGGACTGTGCTGGTCCCTGCTGATGTGATCTCAGCCCAGGTGGATGCTGTGATTGTAGAGAGGGGGCTTGGGGTGGTGGTGGTGGTGGTCATCTGGGTTCTTGCAGTGCTGTGTGTGAAGGCATCTGTCTGTGGACTTATAGCGGAGATATCAGAGCTGGTCCTAGCTGTGCTCCCCAGTGTCTGGCTGGGAGTGAGAGTGCTCCTGGGAGGCACCGTGCTGCTGATGGAGGTGGTTGTGATGCCCACCAGGGCTGTGGAGGACTCAGCTGAAGAATCTGACTGTTCTGGGGCACTGCTGGTCCATAGGGGTGTGCTGATGGCACTTGTGCCAAGAGTGGTGTCCACTGAGGTGTGGGGCAGAGGGCTGGAGGTGGAGGAAGGCAGTGTAGTTGTTTCAGCTGCTGCCAAATTAATGGTTGAAGCTGGGGCTGTGCTAGTCCCTGCTGATGTGCCAGACCTGGTCTCAGCCCATGTGGTTGCTATGGCTGTGGAGGTTGAGTTTGGGGTGGTGGAGACGAGTTCTGGGCTTGGAGTGGTGGCGGTCATCTGAGTTGTTGCAGTGCTGTGTGTGAAGGCACCTGTGTGTAGAGTTATGGTGGAGATATCAGAGCTGGTCCTAGCTGTGCTCCCCAGTGTCTGACTGGGAGTGAGAGTGTTCCTGGGAGGCACCGTGCTGCTGATGGAGGTGGTTGTGATGCCCACTAGGGCTGTGGAGGACTCAGCTGAAGAATCTGGCTGTTCTGGCATGGTGGGAGCTGTTGCTGTGCTGGTCTCTACTGATGCACCAGTGGTGGTGTCAGCCCAGGTCTGTGTCATGGCTGTGGAGGTTGAGCTTGAGGTGGTGGTTGCCTGGATTGTCACAGTGCTGAGCACGGAGGCATCTGTCTGTGTGCTGGGCATCACTGAGGTGGGGGCTTCTGTGTCCGGGCTGGAGGGAGGAGTGGTGGCTGCGGTGCTGAGCAGCGACACGGGG